CACACTCAATTGTAAACGCGACGGTAAACCCCGTGGACTGTACGTATTTCACAAGTGAATGGGGAAAGGAGGAGCTGCAAGGGATGAGGGGTCTTTGGTAATATAAGAAATGGATGCCCTGGCTCGATGACGATACGGCAAGCTAACAACAATGGTACCAAAGGAAGCCAACTCCGACGGGGAAGGTTTCCTATTCGCGGTGGTGGCCGAGGACAAGCGACGACAAGCGACGCCTTTTCCCAGTTGAGATGCGTACTGTACCAACTTAACCGAACTATACTTCGAATGATGTAGGTCAGCTGCAATTGTTCACGCTTGTTTGGATCGGGCGATGACCAATGCCAATGGTAGAGGGCTGCTAAAATAGGTGATGTTGTAAGGCGTGTGTCTTGAAGATCTGGGAAGGTCACGATTATTATGGATAGGTAAATTCAAAAACTACATACCCCGTCGCTAGCCTTTCAATTCTTGATAAACCGGAGCTCCGGCTTATCGGGGGCCGACGGGGGAGGAAGGAAGAAGGAAGGAAGGAAGGAAGGGAGGGGGGACTGTCATTCTCCAGATCCAGGAGGCGGTCAGCCAGGCAGCTACCACTTACTGCCTCCCCTCTCAGCTCCTTTTCCCTTTCCCCAGAGCCGTCAGTCGTCAGTCAATCAACCACTTCTTTTTCCCCACTACGATATGCTAATATTCAATCCATGCTATGTTGATGTGTTTCCCTTTCCGCCACTATCCCCTCCTTCCAACATCAACTTTCACCCATCCTTCACTCAAGAAGCCTGGCAACTTCTAAAGTCTTCATTCACTGAGAGAGTGTTTATTATCTCCGGTTTGTCAAGCCGTCGTCGCTCTTTCACACATTCAAAGCATTTATCGGTGGGCAGCTTTTTATTGTTATCAGTGCCTATCCTAGCCTAGCCCGCAATCTCCCGCCCGTGCTTGACCAAAGCTAGCGCAGATCACAAAGCCAACACCATCACAGCTCACAACTTCTCTACTCATACTCAGCATCTGTTTCATGAACACTAATTGTGTGCCTAGTCCAACGTTACCTGTAGTACCTACCATCGTATTCACTTCGCCCCTGATCGGCATTTATCCTGCTCTACAACATGATCTACAAGACACTGTACTCGGTGCATGATTCCTTAATCTAGCCTTCGGCCCATTTCCCATACCAAAGGACCATTATCCTACCAACTAGATCCGACGAGTCGCAGAAAAACATTTCTCCGGGTCTCTTTGATCAACTTCTCCGAATGCAACCATGGCATCTCGTCATCCCTACGCATCTAGCGTATCGCAAGTCCTCCGGGAATTAGAGGAGTTCCAGACCATGGACTATGAGAGCGCCTATTATGGCTTTGATGGAGACCTCCTGCTGGCTGACTTGGATCAGGCCGGTCGCTGGGGAACGTCCGCGAACAATAATGAGCCAAATTACGACCCATCCTCTGCAGATCAAAGGCCTACGAAGAAACAAAGGACAGATCGATCGATGCATGAGGGGGCTATCCCAGCAGTGCACACTCCGCACCGCAACACTGACCTAGACTCAAATGCCGTGCAACAACAACAACAACAACAACAACAACAAAGAGCTTCAAAGGGTCTTCCTGTGCTCATTGATCTTACAGAAGATGATCACCCGCTAACCGAGATCTTGGAGATCTTCCCAGACATTGATCCCGATTATTTAAAGGGTTTGATCGATCGCCATCTTGCGCTGGTGTCTCAAGCAAAGACAGAGATTCTGCTCACTGCCACTGATAAAGACTTAGCAAAAGGCGCTGTCATCGAAGAAATCCTTCAGAACCCTTCTTACCCCAAGAAGCAGAAGAGGCTTAAGAGAACACTTGACGAGCGTGACTCAGTCTCCAAGAAGGAAGACGATACCCAGAAGTGGCTAAAAGCTATCCCTCAAAGAGGAAGTCCTCTGTACCTTGAGATCACGTAAGAGAGTCTCCTACTGGTTGTCCCTCTATACGAAGCAAGCTGAAGATCACTTTTTAGTGCTCGGTTGTTGGCGATTGAATTCCCTACTGTGCCCTGGCCATATATCCAGAACCTTACCCTGCACAAAAGAGAGTTATACGCTGCATATCTCAGTCTGTATGCCCTGGAAGACCCTTCGGCCAAGTCATCCAAGCCTTACACGAACGAACGGAAACGCAATCCTCGCTCACAGACAAGCCTGTACATGTCGTACCCGGAAACTCTACCGATCATGAAAGACATTCAACGCGAACTCCAGGCGGCTGCAGAAGCTGCAAAGCAGACTAAGGAGATGAATGCAGGTAGGTCATCTTCCCTGAATACGGAACTCCAGTCTCTGACGCTTGATGGCAACGAAGCGGTCCCCCGTAACAACTTCGAAGATGTCGACGACAAGGAAGCCGAAGAGCGCAACATTCAAACAGGAAACCTAGTGGAATGCCAGTGCTGTTTCGAAGAGGTCCCCGCGAACAAAGCCCTGCCGTGTGAAGGACTTGAAGTTCATTTCTTCTGCTATACTTGCATGAAGTCTTCGGCAGAGACACAGATTGGGATGATGAGGTACAAGCTACAATGTTTTGACGGAAGTGGATGTCAGGCAAAATTTGATCGGTACGGGCTTGAGCGTGCCTTGGGAGCGAAGATCATGCAAAAGCTCGATGCTCTGCAGCAGCAGGACGAGATTGAGCAAGCTGGGCTGGAAGGCCTTGAGTCCTGTCCCTTCTGCGACTTCCAGGCGATATGTGCTCCCGCCGATGAGGATCGAGAGTTTCGATGCAGGAACCCTGACTGCGAAGTGGTTAGCTGTCGTTTGTGTAAGGAGAAAAGTCATCTCCCGAGCAGCTGCGACGAGGCTAGGAAAGACAAGCGACTCCCGTACCGCCATCGCGTGGAGGAGGCTCTGAGTGAGGCACTCATTCGGCCTTGTCCAACCTGCAAGGTCAAGATTGTCAAGACTGATGGCTGCAACAAGATGACCTGCTCGAAATGCGGGACTCAGATGTGCTATGTCTGCAACGTCAAACTCGGTGCCACCTACGAACACTTCAACCGACCGCCAAACCATTGCCGCTTGTGGGATCAGAATGAAAGATTCCCACTTGGAAGACAGGTTGAACAAGAAATTGAGCAAGTCGAAGCAGATGCTATCGCCAAGATCCTGGCAGAGAACCCTGATGTCACCGAGGAAGAGATCCGAGTGAATCGTCCGGGACAGAAGCAGAAGGCTAGACCGCCCCGGCCAGGTCGACCACAAAATCGGCATGCAAGACCTCCTCAGCCAGATCGCGCGCGTCAGCCTGTTCAACCTCAAGTTCGCCTCAATATTCAGGTCCCTCGGATTCCACAGCCAAACCAACCGCGTCAACCTATGCAAGCGCCGCAGCACATACAAGCGCCTCGGGTCATGCGGCAAGCTGATCCTGCTAACGTCCCCTTCAGAGAACCTTACAACAACCACGTGCAAGCTCAGACAAATCGAGAGCCACCCGACAGAAATTACTATGCCAACAGAATACAAGATATTTACGCTGGTGGACTTCCTTGGAATGCTCCTGGCAACAATTACCCTCTTCCCAATCCACAAACAAATCAGATAAACCCTGGCGAAGCTGGCTTTCTACCGCAGAGCCACCCTCCCAACAACCCAGTGGTAATGCCAACTGATCCTCCTCCTTACTACTCTTGGAACCAGGGCCAGGCTGTACCCATGGCACCACGCTTTCCTCGGCAGAACGTCGTAAACAACCCTGCGCCTAATCAGGTCGGACCAGGACAAACCATCCAATATCCACCCTACTACGTACCACCTGTCGTTTCTCAGAACGCTCGACGAGCATCCGGCGGACTGGGAGGATATGCTCGCGACTAACTCCCGTGCTGGAAGCTTTTCGCAGACATTGATCCTACCACTGTGATTGTCCGTTGAAATGCTACTTGCTGACCATGTGGCGTTGACCATGATAGCCTCCTAGCATTCACGCATTTTGGTCTTTTTGAATAAATTTAGGGCTTCTATCCCCTGCCTTGATTGGGTTGGTCTTGGAGAGAACAAGAGTCAAGAATATCATCCCATTTCGCTGACTCCAGCTGCCTTCTTTGCTTTTGCATTTTTCTATTAACCTTCCACGGTCGAGCAAGCGTTAAGGAGTTCAGGCGTCCCATCTTCATCATCATCATTGTCATCATCGTCATCGTCATCGGTTGTCTCACCCATCACCACCAATCGGTTCTTTCTTGGCTTGGCATAGCCTGGCATAGCTTGACTTCTTGCGCAACAACTTTGCTTGTGCGATCCCTCTGAGTTCTAAATTCCCATGGCAAGGAGACAGACATGTAGGCAGACAGACAGGCAGATAGATGAATCATATTTCCCTGAAAGATATCGGGGACCTGGACTTCGTGCTCCCCAGAGTCGGGAGATATAGAACAACCTATTCTTTGGATGTCGTCATCGTCTCATCGTATGGCTTTTCCAAAGCTTTGGAGGTTAAGCTCCAGGGCCATGTTCCCATGCTCACGAACGTAGCCCACTCACTCTCCTCCACTGGATCAGCAGCGTAGGTTCTCCAGGCTACCACGGTTACGGACTCGTCATCACCACAAACACCGACTAGTTCTATGTACCTATCCCAAGCAGAAAGCACAGTTACTTATATCAACACCGAACCCGACCTAGGTTGACAAAAGTCCCTTCCAGATGAAGCAGAGCGTTCCCAACCCCAACCCCAACCCCATCCACAGTAGAGAAACGAGAAAAGGCAACGAAAGGAGGGCGGGCCATTCATTCAACGCGATCCTCTCCCAGAAAAACAGAGTCGGCAGACTTCCACTCGTTTCCATTCTTCCTTCATTTCCACCTCCAAAAGCAAATTCTAAAGCACAAGCGTAATCCTAAAAATCTCGAACACTGGACACGCTCCCTACCTCCCCTACTCTTTCCAGACTATCAAATCACCGGCTGGGCAGCGGTTTGTGGCATCCCGAGACAAATACACAAACCCATTCGCAGCTTGGACTCTCCCCAATGCCCCGATCCTGCGCATTGAGTTTTCCAGTGTTCCGTGGTTGGATTGAGGGGGGGGGGAGGAGGAAAAGTGCGGGGGGGAAAGTTTCCATTTCTTCATGGTGACCCATCTCATTGGTTGTTATTCAATATTTATGTATATGTCATGTGTGTAGTTTATAGTAGTCTGAACTATGCGCTTCTTGTTTTTCCTCTCTCTCTTTTCAAGGTGGGATTTCATGCTTTCGGAACTTGGAATTTTGGGCGAAACACACAAAGACTCGAAGCAAACACGGGGACGAACAGGGGAGAAAACCGGATTTTCATGAAGAGGTCGGAGAGGGGGAAGTTTAAATGCGACGACGAGCTCGGGGGGGAAAAAAAGGCTGGCTGGCGGGTGTGCCAGTGGTGGTGGCATCTCCCGTCAAACCACATGATTAATTACAAACAACTCACCCAAATAAGTTACCCCCTCGGGTCACTCGGCCCGACGCATAAAAGCATAAATCACCCAGGACAAACAAGGCAGGCAGGCAACCTTTCCATGGCGCTGAAATTGGCCGGTGATATGAATTTGCTAGGATCATATAGTTGGAGAGAGAACGAGCTCGACAAATGATAGGAGAGAGAGAGATACAAATAGGAGATGGTATGGAAGATGGTGAGTCCCTTGAAGAGAGGATGTGAACAAGTAGAGAGATATGAAAGTAGGGAGAAAGAAGAAAGAAAGAAAAAAAGAGTAATGAAAGAAGTGATAAAGAAATGACAATCGAAGTGATAAGAAAAGGAACGTGACAAAATGATGATCAGGAAACATTCAAAACGAAGAGCGAGCACAGAAAGACAACAAAAGATATCAACCAAATCTATGATGATGCCATGCGAGTCCCAAAATTCGTCCGCTCCCCATTTTATATATTTGCGCCGCTCAATCGACGACAATTCCTAAATTTCCTCATCCATCATGTATGTTCGATCATTGGCCACGCTAAATAGAATGAGATATATGAAAAAAAGAGAAAGATAATGAGTAAAGGAGCAGAAAGTGTCTGGTCGGAAAGTCCCAATGGGCTAGACAAAGAGGATGCGGCGATCGCGATTGAAACGGAGTTCATGGCGGATGCTCCGAATCCACGGGTTCGTTGAACTTTTGCCGCGCCTCCTCCACCCATAGTTCCAGTCGAAGTTCACCAGCTTCTACCCGGCGTACTGGGACAGTCTTGGCGCGTCCGTTTGACACTTTCGGGGGTGGCGGCTGCGGTTCGCCATTTCTCAACTTCGAGACCGAATACGGCGCGGTACACGATCTGAGGTGGACTTTGCCCGGTTCTGCGACAATCCATGTCTGTTCTTCGGTCGTAGATCCGGCCGGGGGAAGAGCGTCCTCGCGCACTTCGATGCAGACGGTAAAACTGAACTCGTCATCTCGAGGCAATGGCGTCAGCCGTGCGCATGCAGATGCCAGGCGGGCGAGGCAGGCGCGGAACTGTGCTTCCAGGTCGACCGTGGGAGGAGCGGGAGCTCGATCGGGCAAAGGAATGCCTGCCTTGGAGGAATCCTCCTTTCGATCCTCAAAGGTGGTGTGAATCTCCCCGGCGGGCACGCGGGGGAAGCCCGACAGATCGAACGCATATCTTTCGAGGGGCTGGTTGGTACGGAGAGAAGAAATAATGATGCTGACAGCGGTGATTGTGCCCTTCAAGATTTCGGTTCCGACCGCGATCGACGCATCATTGATGTAGTCACACACCTTCGGGTGACGGGATTGCCGGACAGGATAATTGTACGCCCGGACAGGGAGGAACGTTGCTCGCGGGTAGACTGACCGGAGGAACAGGATCTGGTGTATCGAGACGGTGAGGAAATTGGTGAAAGATGCCGCCAACGCAGACTGGTTGTTGGGCAGCGACTTCGGGGCGGTAACAGGAGTTGAGAACGTTGTCATGGTGGTTGTAACGGAAGGGATTGTGGTACTCTCACTGGCAATAGGCATTGCCGTCGAAGGCTCTGGTATCGTCGTTTCCACGGGAAAAATGGTATTGACGGGATCTCGGAGATTCTGAGTGCTGTTCCACCCTGAGGCTAATCATCGCTCTGCCTTTATCGAGTCACGCGAGTCAATAAACTGTTGTCTCTTCCATTTATAAAAGACGAGTGGCGTTCTTCGGGGGGGGGGTTATCCCAGTCTAAAGATTGTCTGTGACGTGACAGGGGAATTGAGGGGGGTGGGAGAAAGTGGTGGGGATGGTGATATTGAGGAGGGAGGGGAAGGAGGGGTGAAGAGGGGAGCAACCACGATTCGTGATAGACAAGTAAGTGGTTTGGATACAGAGCAATGCAAGTTGCGAAAGATAAGCGACTTGAGTCAGGAGGGAAAGAGGTCGGGAAGTCGGAGGGAGAGGGAGCAGGAGATAGAGGACAAGATGTGGAAGCGACCAGTGACGGTGAAGTTGTGTTAAGGTAACTTAGTAGTGGTGGTGGGTGGTAATTGTGGTGGTGTTGGTGATGAAAGGTCAAGGAAGAGGCATGATGGGGAAATGGGAAACCACAGAAGAGGGGTGATTGTGATAATGGTCGGTGGTGGTGATGGTGGTGAAACAAGGGGAGAGAGAGGTAGAGGAAGGAGGATTAGACATACGTTGGGTGGACTGGACAACGAGACAACCAAATCTCAGAGCATGGAGGACTTCGTTCGTTGCGATCGTGACAAACGGCGAGGTGAGAGGCGGGGGGGGAGGGGGGTGTGGGAGAGAGAACCGTAATCGGAGTATTAGAAAAGAGAGAGGGGAGAGAGAGAGATAATGCGGTGATGATGTTGATGATGATGATGGAATTTCTCTTTTTCCCCTGCCCTGGTTGGATGTCCTTTCCCAATTAATTTTCTTTTTTTTTCCTTTTTTTTTTAAGAAAAGGTCCCTCTTTTTCCTTACAAACTGCCTCCCTGAACAACAAACAACAACCACAACGGTAACCACCACCTTTTCCACTGAACCCTCTGCGAAAAGGGAAGAAAAAAACGGCAGAAGGGAAAAGAACAGGGAAATAAGAAGAAGAAGAGAGCACAAACGGATTTTTTTAACTTATACTTCTCTTTCTTTTCTTCGTTCCTTCTTTTCTTCTCTGAAATGTCTTGCGCCAACAGAGACAAGAAGCGGAGGGAAACTGACAGATGGATGGATGGATGGATGGATATGGGACCGACCCTTCTGATTGAAGAGGGGAGAGGGGCGGCGGCGGCGGGCTTGAAAGGGAGAGGTGGGCTACTGCTGGCTGCTTAAGTTGCTCTGAACTGTATCGGATTGGGATAAGCCAAGGTTTCCCAGGGGAGCCCGCTTAAGATCCCGGAGCTAGTGAGGGTAAATCGTGAATATAGTGAATGTGAAAGAGTAAAGACACCCGGGGTTAATACAAGAAGCCAGAAGAAAAACACCAAAACTAAATTGCAAGAGAAGAGAGAGGGAATGGGGCAGAAGAAGAGGAAGAGGTAAGGAGAAGAGAGAGAGAGAGAGAGAGAGAGAGAGAGAGGAAAGGAGAAGGAAAGAGAAGGAAGAGCGAGAAGAGGGAGAGTTTGCGGGCAACTCAACTACTCAAGTCTTTCGGAGGGGAAAGCTTGTCGGGCGACGACGAGTCGTTACCTTAGTTAACTAAGAGCAGAAGGCGCCCAAGTCATCCATTCTCATGGCTGTCTCTTTTTAGACTACACTACTAGGTAATCATTAATTCCGTAGTTACGGAGACTGAGTACGGAGTACGGACCATACTACCCATACCTAGTACTCATTCATACCACTCTCCTCTCCCCCTCTGCCTGCACCCCTCTCCCCGTCACGTGGTTGCGTCATGGGTGTGGATGCCCTGCAGCATTCAGCTCAATCATCCAATCTTACCATTCGTTACCTTACCATCTGACGAATAGGCAGGATAGGCAGGATGTACAGTACTGTACAACCCCCCCGAAAATGAGGATTGTCGTTCAGCATCTTGCAAATCCAATCCTTCGTCCTCTACATGGAGTTGAGGCTGGGCTAGGACGGAATGAACCCGACTATAGCAATCTTAGGAAACGAAAACGGTGTAAATTGTAAAGGGAGCAGCATACGTAGAGGCGAAAAGGATTCGGTCATTGTGCATTATAACTTCCCCTCATTGACCATTCAGAGCACGGGGGCAAACTGCAGACAAGTACCTACTAGTAGACACACCCTAGGTACATGTTTGAGTAAATTCAGTGCAGGTGAAGAAGGAACTCCCTCTTCCCTTTGCTTGACTCGGTCCGAAAATCAGACACAGAAAAAAAGGAAAGGAAAGGAAATACCGTGGACAACACCTGGTACTGACAACGAAGGTGGAAGGGAAAGTGCCCAAAGTTCATCATCAACATTCCCCACTCGTTCTGTACCGAGCAACAATGCGCATTCGCTGGTTAGTACCGCCTCTTCCGTTTGCCAGGCCGATCATCTGCTACCAACACTTGACTCGCACAACAAACGGATGTGACAAGGAAAGGCGTGGAAAGCAGAAATGCCAGCCGTGGTTGACCGACGGCGGTGGGTATCCTGGCTATAAGGAACCAAAGTCTAATTGCATACTGGCTGAGATTCTTCCCACTGCGAAAAACGGGTCTTCCACCACTACATGTGCTCTACTCAACCCGGAAATTCATTCAGTGGTCTGTCTCCAAGAGGTGTGTGGTGCAGCCTGCCTTATTAGCCCTTCCCCCCCAGCTCTGGAGATATCAGTCTGATATCACCCCCTGGGTTTTAGCGACGATCATGGCGAGTAAGTTATTCTTCGTAGAGAATTATTCATCCGTCCGTCCTCCACATTGCTCAGCGACATCCTTGACTTGCGGGTACTGACTCTGGTAAGTATGTATGCACTGTGCTGGATACTGTATGATCAAGAGTTTCACTGCAGGACTTCATTGCCTTCTTACTACATACAGCTGCCTTTTGTTCTTACCCGAGGTTATTGGCTTGATTATTTGTGAAACCCAGTCAGCCTTGAAGTACAGTAAGTACGCTCGCATACCAGACAGTTGCCCTCCAAGCAATGAATCATTCTACTTCTTTCCTGTTTAGGGGGATTTGCCGCCCCTCAGGTGCTCAATTTAAATAATCAATAATAACTTGCCGGTTTCTCCCCTGCCTTTAACCAAACCCCACCATGATCAACTTTAGTTAACTAAAGTACCAAGTTACTCATACAATTAATCAGCCTCCTCTTCCTCACCTCCCCGGGCTCATCAAAAATCTACAACTTACCCGAAATTCTTTACATAACCATACCCAAACGCCACTGGAGCCGCCTCCTTCCCCCTCCCCGCGGGAGCCTTTCTGTACCTTTCCTATGGTCACCGGTACACATATTCGCTGCCGGGTACCTTACCTAGGTACAGTATCTGGAGTACCTGGGTTCGTCCCAAAGTACCCGATAGATACCAGCAATCAGACCACCTCCCAGGGGTATGAACTCGGATCTCAATCAGAGCCTACCGAAAAAGAAAGCGCCCTACGGCGATAGTCGAAGATTGCCCATCCTCACCCTCCGCGAACCATAGACTGCACCATAGGCTGCATGACCGTCAACCACGACGTTACTTTATCAACCATTAAAGTTCTCACGTCACAGATATCCCTACGGAGTACATAAGTACATCATCCGTTGGGCGGACACTTACCCGCGGATTAGATTGCTCCATTACTCAAAGTGATCATCGTCACTCTTGCTTTTCTCGAACACCCGAACCAGATCTTCTCCACAGGACGCCACACGCCCAGAGGGGAGATCCATAACTCGGGTAGACTAAACAACCTCCCTCTTTTCCCTCGCACATTGCTGCCAAGTGCTAGACTAGAATAATGCTAACAAAAACTCGCTTGCCCGTCAGCTTTTTTTTCTCTCCTTTTTTTTTCGCCCTCACCTGATCACTACCTCAAAGGACCCATGCTATCCGTTGGCTCACTGCGGGCCACTACATCTAACGCTCAAAAACATTTGTAGAGTCGGGTAGCCCGTACCAACATCTCATCCCGCTGATACCAGCCGATTTTTTTCGAATCCCCACTACGTTGCCCCAACTATCACGGGCATTCTTTCTTGGAGTATAATGCACCTTGATTCGCGTAAGAAGCGTTTCCAGGCCTTGGTCTGCCTGGGTGATATTCGCAGTTGCCGCTGATCATTGCGAAGGCAAGAAAGGGACCGGTGTCGTCAGGGAGCTGGGGCGCGCAGATCTTGATATAAATATCAACGATCGTTGCGGAAGGGCCACATGCTGGAGAAAAGCCTGTTTGTTTGCCCTGGCGGGACAAGGTCGAAGTACTGAGTATCATGGGTCAACTGAACATGGGATGCCTACGAACAGAGGCACACGTGATGGTTTTCAGGCGCGACCCAAATCCGGGGTAAAGACGATTGTCGAGGGATCTTCCCTGGCACCGAAGACCCTCGTAGGACGAAGGCTAAATCGGAGGTTGGATTTGTCTCACGAGCGTGATCGCGAGATGTACTAGGTACTGATTATCTGTAGAGGTGTGGTTCTTAATAAGATCTTGCCCAGGGATAAGCGCATCGATCGATATCCTTGTCGTCCAGCAGTCAGGGATGGCTTCCTACACAGTTGATGCAGACGATCCGCTTCGCGCCCCAGCAACATAGATAAAGGATTTGTGCTCTCAATTGTGAAGCGCACCCTCCTTATCTTCGGCGATGAGCGTCTCCACCGATTGGTGTACCTGACGTCCCTGGGCTGGTCTCGCTAGTGGGTTACTTAGTTATCCTGTCTTTCAAACCCGCAGAGTATGAGGTGGCTTCTTTGGATCTCGGGAAAAGGTATAGTTGCACCCATTAGCAGATCAATTGACAGGTGACGAGCCTTTCCATTTCTAGAAATCCATTCTGTGCTCTCGGCATTGCACTCATATCCATGGCTGACAGATTCGTCGTGATTGATACATTGCCCATACAAATAGAGCAGGGGGCATATATTTCGACAGCATTGAAAGTCCACAGGTTGTGCCGTCGAGATGATCTAGATAGGGAATTAGCACTCTGGGGTCAGATCAGATCATGCAAGGAAGAGGAAGAGGAAGAGGACCGACCCCATTGAAGGAGTCAAGTCAGACATGTCACCAGTTGCTGTCTCGGTTGTAGCCCCTCTTTCTCTCTTCCCCCCACCCACCGGAGCATGCGATAAGTTAAGTTGGGGAGATCCTCGAGTCTCACCGCCTTCCCTTCTGCCGCCCGCTCTTCTGCCCCTCCTCACGGTTGTCGCGACAATTCGCAGTGCTGATTTGATCTACTGTCAATGCCAATTACCACCTGAACCGTTTATCAGGTATCAGAGACTGAGGGGACAAATCAACGCAGGAAATCCTGAAAATCCCCCACGGACATAAACATCTTAATACTCTCTCTCGTACATAACCATCTCTTTCCAACACCTATCCATTCTTTATACAAATTCCCGTCTACGTCTTCTCGCCCACCATGGAGCAAGAGCTCCTGTCGCTGCTTGCAGACACCCAGTCGTCGGTGGCTGATACCAGAAAGGCCGCCGAACTACAGCTTCTGCGTCTCTACTCCAACGAGACCTTCCCCCTCGCTCTTGCCGCGATCGCTTCTCACGATTCTGTCCCTACCAACCTCCGCCAGTCTGCCCTTTCCGTTCTCCGGACCTTCATTGCCGCGTCCTGGTCTCCGGTTCTCGACGAATTCAAGGGCCAGGTACTTGTCAGCGACGATAACAAGGTGCAAATCCGGCGCGCACTCTTGGAATTAGCTACGGTCAAGGAGACACCGGAGCGCAAGGTGAAGTCGTCCGCTAGCTTTGCTGTCAGCAAGATCGCCAGCGCCGATTTCCCCGAGCAGTGGCCGGAGCTTTTGCCCACTCTACTTCAGATCATCAATGACACCAACAGCACAGCCGGGGCCCTGCACGGCGCCCTGAAAGTCCTTCTGGACTTGGTCGATACCGGCTTCAGCGAGGAGCAGTTTTTCAACGTTGCCCGAGACCTCGTTACCTCGCTCTTCAATGTGGCCACCAACGAATCGAGGAAGCCCATCTTGAGAGCATTGGCCGTGGCGGCCTTCCGTGCTTGCTTCGACACCCTGGAGATGGTGCTTGAGCAGCACAAGACGGCGGTTAAGCAGTTTATGGACGAGGTGCTCAATGGCTGGTCTCCGTTCTTCATCGCGACACTCAAGGCACCTCTACCACAGGCTCCCAGCGAGCATGAAGAATCCAAGGACAGCGAGATCCCGTCTCAGTGGAGGGGCGCTATTGGTTTGAAGCTGCAGGTCGTCAAGGTACGTCACTGGAGTAGTGGCCTGTAAACTCACTATTTTTGTTCTTGCTGTGCTAATATTGCCCTGTTCGTTAGACCCTGATGAAAATCCGCATGGTGTTTCCCGGTTTGATGACGCCCCAGAGCCCAGTATACTTCTCGACGATCTGGACCGAGTTGTCCAACATCCAATCAACCTATCACGGATTCTATATCGAGGAAGAGAGACAGGGTCGCTTGGAAGATGTGGACGGACTCCCCTACACACTAGATTTCCTGGTCCTGGAGGAGCTGGATCTCATTCAGACGCTGTTGAAGGCACCGCCCGTCAAGGCAGAGCTTCAGCAGCAGCTACAGAATGCTGGACAGGCGGCTGCCACCTCAAGCTGGTTGCCAGAGATCCTGAAACTAGCCGGTTCATATGCTCAGATCACTTCGGAAGAAGAAGGTTTGTGGGACATCGATGTAAACCTCTTTCTCTCCGAAGAGACCTCTGTCACTGCCAACTACACGCCCCGCACTTGCAGTGGAGATCTAGTCATCAAGCTGGGCGAATGGCTCAAGAATACTGCCGTTGAGGGTCTGCATGCGCATCTCAATACTGTGTTCTCTGATCCGTCTTCCACGTAAGCAGCCTTCCCCAAAATGTTCTCGTCGGGTACTAACGCCATGTTCAATTCTCAGGTGGAAGGCTCGTGAGTCTGCCCTCTACATTCTGAGCCAGATTCTCCGGGACTTCAACGAAGTTTCTCAACAGGTTCCCGCCGGGCTTGCTAATGGGTTCAGCAACTTCATTCAGTTTGCTATTCAACAGGAAGAGGAGTTCTTGCGGGCCCGCGGCTATCTCGCCGCTGGAGTTCTCTGCCAGGTAGCAGATGAGTCTTTCCAGCAAACCGCGGTTTCGTACCTCGAGGCTTCTCTCAAGGCGGTGACTAAGGATCCCTCCGAGGTCGTCAGGGTGTCCTGCATCCGGGCACTACAGGATCTCATGCCATCGCTTCCCTCCAGCGCCACCGTTCCACTTCAGGCCGCCGCCATCTCCGCGCTGTCAGACTTCATTTCCTCTCACGACATCTCGGAACATTCTGACAGTGACGATCTCAAAGTCACCCTCGCGGAGACCCTGCGCGATACCATCATCGTCAACCCAAGTGTGGTCTTGTCCTCGAATGCCATCGATGTGCTATTCAACATCGCCAGCAATGGACCTACTAACTTCCAGTTGACGATGATTGTCACGGAGGCCTTTGAGGACATTGTGGAAAATATCTCAGAACAAGGCCCCGAGTCCTTTGTTCGCCTTTGTGAGAAGGTTCTCCCATCCTTGACTGGAGCGATCGATGTTGGCAACCTGACTCAGGAGAACGCTCTGACGAATTTCGCCGCGGACCTCATTCGAGCTCTCGCGGAAAGAGCTTTGGAGCCCCTCCCTAGTGGCTTTGTCGAGGCCGTCATGCCCAAGTTGCACCGTCTGTTACTGGATTCAACAGATGCGGAGTTGATTCGTCCTGCCACAGAAGCCGTGCGCCACATGCTTTCACACGATTTCAACCAGTTCGTCTCGTGGAGAGATCCCGACAGTGGCAAGGAGGCGATCGAAGTTGCCCTCATCATCATCGATCGTTTGTTGGGGCCGGCTGTTGATGACAATGCGGCAACCGAGGTGGGACAGTTGGCAGCCGAATTGGTCGAGCGGGCGGGTTCCGAGCGACTTGGACCTTACCTGCCACAGCTTCTCCAGGCTGTTGCCCAGCGACTTGCAACTGCGCAGCAGGCCCAATTCATTCAGAGCCTCATCCTTGTCTTCGCCCGACTGACGCTCGTCAGCGCGCGTGAAGTTGTCGACTTCCTGTCGCAGGTGAACATTGGCGGCCAGAGCGGCCTTCCCATTGTCCTCAGCAAGTGGCTGGAGAACTCGGTCAACTTCGCCGGCTATGATGAGATCAAGCAGAACATCATCGCGCTCGCGACGCTGTACAACCTGGAAGATCCTCGCATCTCCCAGGTGCAGGTGAAGGGCGATCTGATTATCCAGGACACGGGTCGCATCCGCACCCGGTCCCAGGCTCGCAAGAACCCCGATCAGTACACGACAGTGACCGCGCCCTTGAAGATCATCAAAGTCCTGGTTGAAGAACTGGCCGCGGCCTCGGGCAACAAGGAGATCGACGCCGCCACTGCGGCTGCATTGGAGGAAGAGGGCAGCGACGATGACGACGAATGGGAGGACGTTCCGGGCAACACCCTCGACCTCAACCTTGGAGTCACCAAGCAGGAGCTGATGGCATTCGGTGAGGGTGGCAGTGAGAGTGTGTTCGGAGTGCGCAAGCGTGACGATGAAACTCAAGGCTTTCTGCTGGACTTTTTCCGCAATGCCTCCACGAAGCCCGACTTCCAGCAGCTCTTTACGGCACTGACTCCGGCCGAGCAAGAAAAGTTACACAGCTTGGGTTGAAGGATGACACCAGCTGCCATTGTGCTTCAGTCCTCATTTATCGGTGAGTGTGCTCGAGGCTTCAGTTCGGGTCTGCTATGCAAGTGACGAAGCATTGAGACAGAACTGCGTATTCTAGATAATTACAGTACATGACCAAAAAAAATTAATATCTGGATCATCCCCTCGAGGAGAGACTAGCACGGTTGTAGCTCGTAGGAACATTCGATCATTTATTCTACAGTAAGAAAAGCACCGGGCCCTGACGAACTCAAACAGCACTACACAAACTCTCTGAGGAATAAGTCCGGAGATAGAGTCAATTATCACCGATCGATGTCGCAGGATGATTAAACACCGGAGGGGAGGGGCATCATCTCGGGAATCACCCACGACCCGAACCCAATGAATGCTCGACGACCTGATTACTACGTCGAGGTACTTTTTTAGTGGGTAATTTGAGCTCGGGGATTTTTAGGAGAGTAAACTTCCCCCTTCCCCTAATGAGCCGTCATGGAGAAGAAATAACCAAAAGAAAAAGCAAAGCTCGCGGGGGAGGGAGCAATGAAGTTCTTTTTTCATTTCCTTGCTGTTCAATCAAGGAAAGTTTCCGTGTGTCAAACATCCCACTTGAGCGGTACAAGTACTGTACAGGTACAGGTACAGCAGGCTGAGGAAAACGATAGGGAAGGCTGGAAGGGGGCAAAAAGGGAGAGGAGGGATCTATCTTTTCCCCTAGTTAGCCTGTAGACTTACCAGTAGTTAACGTTAACCGGACCATCTCGAACCATTCCCAGACAAGTAAAACTACTAGTCAACTTGGAATGAGGATGCAAGATTATTTTGCAAAGGGATATCTCGATCCGATTCAAGCAATCAAGAATTATTCAATCCCTTCCCACCCCGTTGATATTACTCTATGGGAATCAAGCACATTCGGTTTTCGGTTTTCGGTTTTCAGTTTTCAGTTTTCAGTAGTCTTGAGAGGGGACCGACCCCTGGGTCCAAGGCTTGACGGTTTGACAGGAAAGTACCTTAGTCTACGGAACGGAGCTCTGTGTGACACTGGGAGTCACACTGACACTGACACTGACACTGATACTGACGGCTGTGACACACTATGGGATGGGGACGGTTTTAGCGGTGCGGGGGGGGGGGGTGCAGGGGAGGGGGCTTCTTCTTGTTTGTCTTGGTTTTTTGTTGGCCAGGTGCATTGTACCTGGGTGATGGATAAGATGTTGAATGCCTCGTCTACTTGTTTGTGTCAGTGGGACTTTTTTCTTTTTTGTTTTTCCCTGGTCTCATTGATTTTAGTTCGGTGGTTTGTCGCTGGCTTGTGTTCGCTATCCTGCTCTTGGGCGAGGATGTTATTACTAAGAAGGGGGGAGGGGGAAAGCGACGGAGGAGTCGGGTAGATCAGTACAGCTACAGGTACTGACTGTACATGTACTTGTTGATCGAAGATGGGTCGTTGCGGAGTAACTTACTGTACATACTACATACAGTGAACTTGCAGTTGATGTGATGAGAATTCCAAATCATGCCTCTTAGGGTACTGAGTACGCTACCCGAGCTGCTACCTAAGGTACTAGACTATGTAGGTAGTAGGGTTTAGTGGGAAGGCTGGAAGAGGGGGATGTCTTATCTAGCCAATAAGTGGGTGAAGTAGTAAATGGGAGAGATCGATTTCCACCAGCAAAGTGGGTGGGTTTTGGTGATTGTTGATTGGGGTCGTCGATCTCCTGGGGCGGATTCTGCGGATGTACTTGTCAGATTCTTGTTTGTTTGTCTTTGCTGCTTGATCACCTCTCTGTAAGGAGACAAGAGATACCTAGGGAGTAACTTATACGTGTAAGTAATAAGCAAAGAGTCGATAAGGGAGGCAGAATCAAGCGAAGCAAGAAAGAACTTGCTAGGAGGCTGAGTTGACAACCTTGAATACCAAGCAAACTCCAGTGGGACGGAGCCGGCACACCGCCACCCTCCGCCGGACCCGACGCTCTGTTTCTTGGGTCCGCGACTCCCTGACAGGCTGACACCCCCGGTCAATGCGCCGCCGCCAGGCTAACTATTCAATTTCATACTTCCTTCCTATCCCGACTCTCCTCTTTCCTACTGACCTGTCGACGGTCTCGGTCAATTCTTTTTCTTCTTCTTCCTCTTCCTCTTGTTGTTGTTCCATCTCGTCTTTTCACTCCGTACACCTTCCTAATTCCTCCCCATCTGTCTCTCTCTCTCTCGTTGACACGCTTGTCCCGCAGTTGGGAAGCATTGTACCGCTGGCGACCTAAAGAAGGATCCCCTTCCCATTCGTTTCCTTGTCGGTCTTTTCCGTCTATACTTCCATCAACCAGTATGCCGCAACCCAACATCGATGAACAAATTCAAATAGACGTAAGATTTCCTGCGCCGTTTCCCATTCTGATTTGATCCGCATTTGTCACTACTGGAATTCACCCACTTCTCCCCTCTATATCAGCCGAGCTGGCAGTTTTTCCGCTGCTGTTCTCACATCACTTCTCAGAACATTATGTGATCTCATTGCAGCAACAATCAATAAGTCGTGGGCATTCATCAATTAAAGGTCAACAGTCAAATCTCCAAGAAGGGTATATTATCTCTTCGCAGTCATCATCTGTCCTGTCTTGCCACTTGCTCTGCTCCATGTTCCACCAAGTTTCCAGCCCGGAAGATAGAGTACTGCACAACAAAGCTTACCTCTCACCTAGACCGACGATGACAACGATTCTCTCCTGGACGCCCAGTCGATCGTCGGCTCCAACCTCACCATCTCCTCGACCGTGCGCGATTACTGCTTCGAGAACGGCCGGCGCTACCACGCCTACCGCAACGGCCAGTACCCGGTGCCCAACGACCAAGAAGAGCAGGACCGGCTCACGCTGCTGCACCAGCTCTTCAAGAGCGTCACGGGCGGCGAGCTGCACCGCGCCCCGGTCCTCCGCCCCCGGCACCGCCCGCAGCGCGTGCTCGATGTCGGCACCGGCACCGGCGTCTGGGCCCTGGATATCGCGGACGCCTACCCGCACGCGGAGATCGTGGGCACCGACCTCAGCCCCATCCAGCCCCGCTACACCCCGCCCAACTGCTCGTTCATCATCGACGACGCGGAGAGCGACTGGGCTTTCCCGCCCGAGGAGGCCTTCGACTACGTCCACGGCCGGTCCCTCGGGGGCTCGATCGCCGACTGGCCCCGGTTCCTGCAGCAGGCGTACCAGCACGTCAAGCCCGGCGGGTGGGTGGAGATCCAGGAGTTCGAGACCTGGATCCGCTCGGACGATGGGACGGACCAGCAGGCGGTGCGGATCCACGAGTACCAGCGGAAGTTGGACGAGGCGAGCCGCAGGTTCGGGAAGCGCATGAATATCGCCTCCAGTGTGCGGGGGTGGATGCAAGACGCGGGATTTCAGCATGTCACGGATGATACGTACAAGGTGGTTCCCCCTCATAGAAAAAATCCGTTCGCCTCGTCCAGGCCGCGAATGATTACAACTTCATACTGACTCGGGAACATGCAGTGTCCGCTGGGCCCGTGGGCGAGAAACCCGCATTTCAAAGAGCTCGGTCGCATGGGGAAGGCGGCCTTCTTCGATACGATCGAACCGTATTCGCTGGCGTTGTTGACGCGGGTCATGGATTACACGTACGAGCAAGCGCAACGGTACGCCCAGGATGTGCGGCATGAGTTGGTGCACGGCTCGTTCCACATCTATACCCTGTTCCATTATGTGTACGGACAGAAACCACCGGAGAAGGCTAATAATGATGGCCATAATGGCGGTGACGATGCTGACGCCGATGCTGCGGATGATGATAACGATGCTGATGACAATAAATGAAGTGTATATATACCCGTGTAATGAGCCGAAGTTATACATATCACCGGTTGAACCTGAGCGGGATGCACTTTTCTTACTACAGTTGAGTCTTGGGCTCATGCTTTCCTTGGGGATGTCTTGCTACTCATAAATGTATTGTTTCAGGGAACCGACACTCTCCATATATAATGTACCGTCCATCCCCCCACCTCCTCGCAACAGTATCTACATCCCGTGGGAACGGAACCAGGTCCCCCTTTCAGGGAAACAATCACCCCTGCAGAGAAAACCCGACGCCCTCGCCCGACCCCATCGCCACAAGATTCGCCCGCATCCTCTCAGGGCGCTCGCCGATGCCAAACGCGGCATCCTCGCGCTGCACCCACGCGCCCACCCCATGCTGCAACACCGCCGTCGCCCGCACCGCCGCACTCTTCCCCTCATCCCCCTGACCACCCCCATCCACCGAACCCTTCCACCCCAAACTCCCATGCAACGTCAACCTCGGCTCCTCCTCCACCCCAGCCCCCGCAACCTTAGCCCGATACACCCCGCGATGCAAGATATTACTATCATAGAACACGGCATCGCCCGGGTGGAGCGTCACAACGACCTGCCCCGGCAACTCAGCGGCGTAGGGGTCGGCGGCGCGCTCGGTGGGCGTGCGCACGCGCCGATGCGACCCCGGCACGACGACCAGCGAGCGATCCTCGCACAGCGCCAGGTTATACTGGGCGTGGGACTGGCGGCCCTGCGGGCTCTTGGTCTGCAGCAGCCGGAGCTCCTCGTCGGCGGACACGTGCTCCGGGATGTCGTCGCGGTGCCAGCGGAGCGCGAAGTCGTGGGTCTCCGGGGCCACGAGGAGGTTGAAGAGTTCCATGACGAGGGGTTCGGGTTCGGGCTCGTTGCCGTTGCCGTTGCCGTTGCCGTTGCCGGTGGCTGCTTTGCCGGGCGTGCTAATTCCCAGTAGCTCCTCGGCGACGGCGAGCACCTTCGCCGAGAAGTAGAAGCGCGCGAACTCCGTCCGGTGCGGCATGTCCGGGTGCAGCAGGTGCTGCACGCCCCAGATGCCGCCGTCGGAGGCCGCGGGCAGGGTGCGCGGCCACGGCGGGAATTGTTTGGGCACCGTGCGGAAGTACGGCCATTGGCCGGTGCGGGTGAGCTGCGTCGCGGCTGTGGCGATGCGGCGGTAGTGGGTGATTTCCGGGGGCGTGAGGAGGGCGGGGATCACGACGAAGCCGTCGCGGTGGAGGGCGGATTGGTAGGGGGTGGGGGATGGCGGGGTTGTCATTGTTTTTATGTTGTTGATGATGAAGGGAAGGAGGAGATGTCGGGATGGATGGGTAAGTGAGGGATGAGAAAGTCTTTGGTGGTGGTGGTGGTGGTGGTGGGGAAACGAGAGGATGGCCGCGCCGATCTATGGGGCTCGGTATAAATAAACAGTGCTCTGCTCAGTCACTAGCACTGCAGCAAGAGGTACATCCGAAGGGGGTTGGAGTAACATCTACTAAGTATACGGCTATGTTTACGGCTGAATACCACCCTATCAGTAGGGTTACCTTTTTTTTGTCGCTAAGTCTAACCGAGTCAGTTGCTTGGCTGTAGGTCACCTATGCTGAGATAGCTGATAGCTAATAGCTAAGAATGCTTGTCCTGTCGCAGTCTGTTGCTTGAGTCAGTCAGGTCGTAGCATTGTTTGGTCTGCCTTGATAACTTTACCCCGCGGCGGGCAGAAACGCGAGCAATCGATAAGAGGAGCCAAAGCGGGGTTCCCTTCAAAGTAACCATGGAACATGGTTACATGCTTGTGTCTCATTTCTATATTTGTTTTTCTGCTGCTGAGCTCATTGTGGATCCCAATCACTAGCATTACATATACTACGTTCGCTATCTACGCAGTATTCAGTACAAATCGCGTGGTCAACATACTTGTACTTCGACACGAGCAATGATCCTCTACGCCGATCGATGGAATGAGCTCGTATGACGGAACGGGGTGGCTTGGCTGTGGCTTGGGGTGGATGTGGCTCGGCTCAGCTCAGCTCAGCTCAGTAGGTTCGTTTCTGCCATTGCCAAGCAAAGCAAACCCATGGAAATTGGCTTGTTGGTGTTCCTGAGGAATTCAGGACGCGTGATTTGACAATTCGCCAAGCTGTTGTGCTGTATCTTAAAGGTTGAGAGAACTTGGTTGGCTACACTAACTACACCTTCTAACCACCAAAATCTCTCAAATTCGTTCAATATCGCCAACCCGGAGCGTCATCATTTCTCACACAGCTCAGTACACAAGTGCTCTCATTCTTAGAAATGGTTCCATTCTTAGAATACAAGAATGACAGAATAGAAGACAGTAAAGTTCAGATGCTGAAGTAGGAGCCGCCTACGCTTGCCAAAGCAACAGCCACTCAGTAACGATACTCACCTGAGCTATAGCCTTGGTTATAGCCACCGCCGTAGCCACTATTGCCTCCATAGGAATCATATGAAGGACCCGGGGGGAAATGGCCGGGAGGGTGATGGAGGTGGTCATCGTGTCGGTGATGATGATGACCGTCATCCGACTTGCCGCCGTGCTCATAGCCTTGGCTATAGCCACCGCCGTAGCCACTGTTGCCTCCATAGGAATCACTTGAACGACCCGGGGGGAAATGGCCGGGAGGGTGACGACCGGCATCCGGCTCGCCGCCGTGCTCATAGCCTTGACTGGGGTAGGCGGGGCGAGGCTGATGGTGACGGTGGGGTTCCTCGCGGGAGCCGCTGTAGTCATAGCCCTGGCTACTGGGATACGACGGCCGTGACTCATAAGGACGAGATTGCTCATAAGAACCGTAAGACTGTCCCGAGTACTGCTGCTGGAATTGGTACGACTGCTGCTGGCTTTGGTATGAGGCCTGGTATGTCGAGCTCTGAGTCTGTTCGTCTTGGTATGAGGACTGGTATGTCGAGCTTTGAGTCTGCTCGGGCTCCTCGTTTCTCGATGAACCGCCAACCATGAGGTTGGAGAAGGCACTGTTCAGGCCCCCTAGGTTAGAGATACCAGGAATGGGCAAGTTGGAAAGGCCTCCGAATGGTAAGCCACCGCTCTGCTGCTGCTGCTGCTGCTGCTGTGAGGAAGGAGGACGATGCTGCTGGCTATGTCCAGATTGATTCCCACTACCGCCATGGGTGTGGGGTACACCACCCGTGTTCTTGCCGGATTTTACACCCTCGGCGCTTAGAATGTCGTTAAGTCTAGAGCCTCTATCGGATCGGGATTGAACCCAGGTCTCGACAGCTTCAAACATAGTCCGGTGAGCCTCGTTGCGGTTGTCACGAATAGCAGGGTGGTGGAACACCTTCAAGCAATCGTCCAACACTTGCTCCTCCGAGATGCCGATGTTCTCCCAAGCATGGAGAACGCGTGGAGCCACGTACTTGAGAATAGCAGATGCGACCTGACCAGCAGGCTCGTTGAGGATGTTGGCAAAGTGGTCCTTGGACAACATGGAGTGGGTTGGATCGGTACAGTCGGGGTCTGTCCACGGCTCATACTGATGCTGGCCAGAGGCATCAATCACGCCAGAAGAGCCAGTTTGCAGCGACTTGGAAGCAGCATTGATGATAGGACGAATGAAAGGTGCGAGGAGAGACATGATGAAGACCGTCAGGGTCTCCGTGATCTTCTCGACGACGGCCTCCAGCCCAGGAATTTTCTCAATGACCGAGGTGAGTTTACGAACCACCTTATCTCTGAACTCGAGGATTGGATAGATCTGCGCAATGGTCTTGTTCGGGTCAAAGTCTTGCAGTGCCGAGCCACCGGATCCTCCACTAGACTGAGGCCGTGCTGATTCCCCAGCCCTATAGCTGCTAGGCTCTTCATCGTCAAAGCCGCGAGAGCGCGAGGACTCGTAATCATCATAGCCGCGAGAGCGCGAGGAACCGTAATCTTCCTCGAAGCCTCTGCTTGAGCCATAGCCCTGGCGAGCACCACCGCTCCGATTTGCGGACTCTTGAGCCTCCGACCGACGCTTGAGCTCTTCGGCTTCCTCGACGAGATCCTTCGTTCCCGGAATCCCGCCCAACAGATTCGTGAAAGCGCCAAGGGCATTCGCGGACGAGTTATTCTGAGCATCTCCAAGAGCGATATCCATCTCGTTAACTTCCGACTGGGTGAAGTGATCGGTGGCTTCTCCCAGAACAGAATGAAAGAAATCCACCATACCGAATGTCCCTGTCACCAGCGGGAAGACCCGGCGGCCGCGAACGTTCAGTTCCGTGTTGACACCGGTGTGCGGGAAGACATTCTTGAAGCCCATCTCACGAAGCGCAAGCTCACAGTAATTGGTGTGTGCCGCGAAGTCTTCCAGGGTGTGGAGGCCCTGACCCAGACACCGCAGAGCCTCGCAAAGGTCGGCCTCGTTGCCCTTGTCGCTGCCGTGGGTGTAGGTCCGCCCATAGTGAATGCTCCGAGCCAGGCTGTACTTGATATATCCGGAGCTGGTCGTCCAGTCCCCACCTTCGTTGGCGATGTAGTTCTTCATGCCGGTTTCAGGGTCGATCTCGAGTTCCACCTGGCGGATCGGCCCACGCAAGCGTTTGTCGTACTGGCGCGCATCCTGGTTGTCCGCATAGTCCTTAGGGTTGTCAATATGCTCCTCAGGGCGGTAAACACCGAGTCTCTCGGAGGTGACCTCGAACTCCGCCGTCGCGTATCCGAAGGTCATGAAAGACAGAATCCAAACAAGGATACGGATAGTATCGGCTTGTAGGTTCTTGAGAGTACCGACATCCATGGCCTGCGAGTAATCACGCAACCAGTTACCAAAGTAGACGCGCTTGACCATGGTGGAAGTCCACTTGTGTCCTTTGATAAAGGCGACCGTCTTAAGCATATCTTCAATGTCTCCATGGCGCCAGTTCTTGCCCTCCACGGCGGAGATCGATGCGATGTCTAGCTGGGTTTAGCAGGTGAACATGAAGACAAAATGGCCTCGAAGGGGTTATTTACTTCCAGCGCCAAAGGCGTAGGTCTGAGCCGGCAGCAGAACGAGCAAAAGGCCCAGGATGAGGAGGGCATGGGAGCCCAAATTCAGCCGCGGAGCCATAGCGCGGAAGATCTGCAGGGTCTCCGGGCAAAAGTGGGTGGATAATGTGGAAGCAGTAAGGAGGTCGAATCCCGCGAGTAGACGTAACTAAAGGCGCATGCAGCGGGAAGAGAGTCTGCAGTGTTTTGCAGAAAAACAGACAGTAAAGACGGTCGAAAGAAGAAGTGAAGAGAGAGAAAAAAAAAATGACGAAGCGAGTTTGTTTTTCACTGATCTGCGAGAGGCGCAAGCCACAGCCAAGACAAGCTGCCCAGAGAGTCTTAAGAGTTAGGACTCGCTGCCCCGCCATTCTGCCTCTTTAGGAAACCCCAAGCCGCGTCATTGCGGTTATGATTTACTGTGAATACTGCACGTTCTAGACTACTCTTCGGAGTAAATATATTGCAGCTGTCCGTTCACGAGTAACACTCCTCGGGTATCGGTAGTCGAATAGTCTACCACCAAAACTGTTGTGTTCGCATCCATGAATCCTTGTGACTACAGGCATGGCAGTATAGATCCATGATCCCAAACAACGAGACGGGTCACTTTGCTTGGCAGTGGCAGAAACGAGCTGAGCTGAGCTGAGCTACAGCCACCCCAAGCCACACCCCATTTCGTCATACGAGCTGACTTCATGGGTCAAGAGAATCAAAGCTTGTGTCAGAGTATGTTAACCACGCAGTTCCTACCGAATGGATGAAGCAGTCGTAAAGTACCTGGCCAGGAAAAGGAGGGGGGGGAAATTAGTTTATTTGAATCTGATCTACTGTAGCACGATGCAAGGACATAATGTCAACACTACCTCATCATCCAACAAGACCAGCCCGGCTAGCTCAATCGGCAGAGCGTGAGACTCTTAATCTCAAGGTTGCGGGTTCAACCCCCGCGTTGGGCTTCATCTTTTTGTCTTTTTGAGATCCTCCACTCATTCCGTGCATAAAGTTCTCATTCCATGTGTAACTGGGATCTTGGTTTTTTTTTACAACAATTACAATTATCCTGTATAAAACTCCCAAGTCTGCTCGTTGTTGCCCCTGGCACATCGCCACCGTGTCCGTTGGTTTAGGTTTGAAGTATATATATCCGTAAACCATGGATCACGTACCGTTCGTTCAACTCCTCATCTCTCATCTCCTCTGCTGTAGTGAGAACTACATCTCGAATGCTGCTAGAGAGCCGGCAGTCCGGCTCAGTACTGCCACATAACCCACCTGCCTTCTGATGACCATGTACGCCCGACCCCATAGCAAGTCGGGGCACGCCAAAGAGAGAAAGAAGCGCACCCGGCGGAAGCAAAGATTGCTCCAGCACCGGGGAAACACTAACTACAGTCGACATAAGGTGTAACTGTAAGCAAGGAGTAGTAGTATCACAGTTGTATGTAATGTCAGATACTGGTGATGATGCATTAAGTTGATCAAAGGCGCCGAAGCTTCTATATACACTCACTGTACCCATAACGAGTACAGTACATTAGTCATGGGAGGGAAAAAGAGATAGCCACACATGCAGCCCATAGGATAAAGATGAAATCAAGGAAAGGAAAATCGAGGATGCGCCTGCCTTCCACTCGCGCTAATTTAGAAAAGTCCAGCGCTGCCCGTGTATTAGAACAGAAAATCGGAACCGAAATGACTATCTCGCTAAAAACATCGTGAATCTCCCTCATCGTCGGTATCGCATAGTGGTTGACCATGTTGATATACCTAGCAGTCGTAGGAAAGCAGAACCGAAGAAGGGTAGTGATGATTGTGGAACATTAGGATCTACAATTTCGTCCCCTCGCGTCCACTATCGCTAAGCCTACGCGGACGAAGCGGGATGGCGGAGGTGCTGGGCCCGGCAGCAGCCGTGGGAGTATGGCCACCGGGGGCGGTGCCAGTGCGGACACCCCCAGTCCGTTGTGAGCTTTGGTGTTGGTGGAGTCGAGGGTTCAGAAGCCATTGCACCTGCATGCGTATACTGCTCACCGCGGCGTTGGTGTGGGCCATGTCCTCCTTGATGCGGAGGCATTCGCTCATGATCGCCATGCTGGCGCGGGCGTCGAGATCCGTGATGGCGTGGGATAACTGTCCGACTTCCTCGCGGAGGGACTCGTGTAAGGAGAGAAGATAGTTTGTCGTGGTGGCGGTGTATTGGTTGGAACTATCGATCTGGGACTGGCTGTTGGGGGATGTTGGGTCGTTGTTATTGCGGCGGGGTGGGGTAGAAGTCGTTGCGCGATCATCCGGGCCAGCAGAAGCAGTTGGCGACTGGGCCAGGGTGGTTCGGATGTTCGCTAAAGCGTCGTCGAAGATCTCGTTCCGTTGTTTGAGATGGCGAATGGTGAGTTCGAGCGAGTCGAGGCGCGCATTCTGAGCGTCAAAGTACGGGCCCATAGAGATCAAAGGGCAGGTTTGCTCGTGCGTGGCTAAGTCGGCGCGCTTGAGTTGAATGGGACAGCCGTATTTCGAGGCGGCACAGCCGTGAATGGATTCAGGGCAAGAGTCTGCATGTTGTTTGAGTTCTCTGCGTAGGATCGTGGTATGGCAGTCTGGGCAGGTGGTTTGGAGATTGGGGCATAATTCGTCAATGTGTTCCTGTCGGAGGCACAAGGTTAGCAGGCCATGAAAATGCAATGCAATGAACCCGGAGTCTAATAGTTTTGTGCGCACCTTATAGTCTTGCTCCATGATATTACCCTCGCAGCGCGCGCATTGGTGGAGTACATGCAAGCATCTCCCCTCCGGGTCGAGGTCCTTCTTCCGTGTCTTCAACCCACATGAGCCCAGCGGACAGTCCATCGGTCTATAACCGCAGTACTTGTCAACATGAGTCTGGATGAACACTCTTGGAGCCACTTCCTCACACCCTTCGATCCGAAATGGGCACCTCACTCGAATCTCGTCGCACATGTTGACCAGGAGACGGGGGAGTTTGAGGTAAACTCCGCCGGTGGGTGTGCGACAGGCAGGGCACGTAAAGTCGTCTCGAGATGCTGCGAAGGTCGTGATGGCCGATACAAGGCATTTCTGGCAGAATACATGATCGCACTTCAACCGGACTGGGTGTATGAAGGGGCAGTGGCATATCGGACACATAAGATGGTCATCGTAGCTGGAAACGTAGTCTAGTGAGCGCAGGTCGACGCTCTCGTCGCGGTCGCAATTCGCCTCCATAACTAAAAGGTCTTCAAGGGTGATGTTTGTCATGTTGAGATGTTTTGCTCTGCCATGAGGGGTTTCTAATATGTGATAAGAGCCTCGAGATTGATCCTCCGCCCGTCCGGGAGCCGATTCTGCGCAAGGAGGGAGAGGAGGAGATCAACCGTTTAATTGCCGTTCTTGAACCGGGGAACGAAACGATAGCTCGAAGCAAAGACCCATGAGGGGGCTCGAAAGGTGACCAAAAGAGGGTATATCGGACGAAAAGAGTGTTTGAGGGCGCGGGTATGAGTCGGTCAAGGAAGGAAGATGTAGTGACCTCGGGAGGGAGCGCAATTACTGGGAGAATGGATGAATTGCGGGGAGGGAGCGAGACTGACTGATGGGATTCAATGCGGCGCGGAGAGCGGCAGATCCACCACCACCACACTGGCACTACTGCTGCAGCAGCCGATCATCCCTCGTCCTTCGCCATCTCATCTCCAATCTCACTTATCCTCTCTCACAACGAACTCCTAATCAAGCCACCTCAACCTATCTCTTGTCATATTTCTGTCTCCACCAGCCCGGCGCTGTTCTTCTTCCCCGGCGGAATTATCCTAAATTAGCGCAGTCGTCAAACAGCCTGACACGAAATCCGTACAATCCCTCCCGACCGTTCCGCTGTCTACTCCGCAATCATCATCGCATCTCACCCACCTCGAACGCCTCTCAAGACACCCAGACCCTCTCATTCACGAGCCCACCAACCTCCTACTTCCTGCCTCCCACAACAAATCGCCACCATGCCAAACCCCAGCCAACTCCTCCTCCTCGCCGACCACATCAAGCTCTCGCTCCTCGAGCGTCAACGCGCCATCTCCCTCAGCCTGGAGCCTAACAGCCAAGACGGCGAGATCTCGCGGTCCCTGGACTCCTTCAAAGAAGGCATCGACGCCATCGAAGCCGAGTGCGCGCAGCTCGAAGCCCAGAAGGGCCGGCACGATGACGACGTCACCGACCTCCGCGACCAGCTCGGCCACCTCCACTCCCAGCACGACGAGCTGTCCGCTCAGTTCCACGACATCACGACTGCCATTGCCGAGGCAGCCTCTGCTTCCTCGTCCGCATCGTCCGGCTTCGCCAACCACGTGAAGAACTCCTCCCCGGACCTTAAGCAGCCCGTCCCGCAGCACCCGTCCTCGAAATCCGTGCGCTTCATGGACGCCGCGGCGGCGGCCGAGGCGGCCGAGGCCGACGACGAGGAGCACCGGCGCAACCTCTTCCGGCCGTACCGCGACTCGCCGTCCCCGCCGCCCGGGGCCAGCGCCGCCAGCATGGACGGGCTGTCGAACGAGCAGATCTACGATCACCACGCGCAGGCGCTCCGGGACCAGGACGAGCATCTGGACCGGCTGGGCGAGTCGATCAGCCGGCAGCACCAGCTGAGCATCCAGATCGGGGACGAGCTGGAGGGCCATGTGGCGTTGCTGGATGATCTGGACGGGCATGTGGATCGGCATCAGGGGCGGTTGGACAAGGCGAGGAAGCGCCTGGATCGGTTCCGGCGCAGTGCCGGGGAGAATTGGAGTATGATGACCATCGTCGGGTTAATTATCACGCTGGTGATCTTGATCGTGCTTTTGAAGTGACATTTCTTTAATCTCGCAGGTTCGGAGAGTTTATATATATGGTTTGTTTTGGGTTGGGTTTGGGGGGTCGTTTGTGATTCCCAGGAGGGCGAGTCCGGCGTTTGTACTGTGTTTGAGTCGTGTTTTGTGTCTTTCTTCTCTCCCTCCCCTCCTTTTTCTAACTACCCACTCCTTCGTCTGTTCCCTTCAGTTAATATATACCGACAGCAGCTATCATGTTTTTTCTTCCCTTCCCCATTGACGG